AATCTCTTTTAAAAGAGATAAGGATGAGATAAGGATGTGAAGCTATCCTTTTGGCTCAGGTCAGCATCCTCCCAAAAAACTTTGTTCTGCTACTTAGATTAGTAACTTTAAACATTCTTATGAAAGTCATGAGATTCAGTTTTACAGATGGACTCCTCCTTGAGGTGTTCAGGGGAATTTTTTATACATAATTACATTGGATGATGAAGCTAGGAATTTCAACAGTTAATTCTTAAAGAAAAATGAGCACTTTGTTTTGACTAAATTCCAATTTTATGGAATCTATACAAATTATATCAGGTTTCCTTTATACAAATGAAGAATTTGTTTAATGTTTCAATGCCTGGTCCCATGTTTTACTTCTCAAAACCCAAGAAAGGGACTTCTACTTAACTAGCAGTGGCTGTAATGAGACTTTCCTGTCAGTGGGGCAGACTTGCTGACCTAGACAAGGCTGTCCTCCCACTCCTTGGACAACTCCCTTCCCTACTTAGGAAGCAGCACCCTGAAGTTAGAGTTTGCCAGGCTATAGTCACTCTGATCATTGCCAAATATGAATTTCCATGTAGCACAATCTGGGCAGCCAGTGATATAGTGGTTTTTACCTATCATGTAATAATGTATAGTAGACAGTCTAAATGACAGAAAGGATTAAGTGAATTTTAGAAGCTCAGTGAAAACAAATAGATGAGACTAAAAATAGTTTGGTATGTTGTAAGTGCAGTCTAACCCAAGCAGCAACATATATTTTCAGGATGAGAAGCTGAGGGGCCAAAGTGCAGCCTGAACTCCCTCCTAGTGTTCTCTGAGCACCTGTTGTTCTTCACTGCACAGATTCTGCTTTCTGCACAGGAGGCAGAATAATGAATGCATTCATTATGAACAAAGATTTATTTAAAAACTGCATGGTGCTAAGCTGTAGAAGGAGAGGAATTCTTTGACTATTCCATTGTTTGACTATTACAGGTAATGCTTTGAACAAGGTGATGGTAATAGACAGTATGGGTTTAGCTTAAAGCCCATGAGATATAAGCTTCAGGTCCTCTAACTCACATAAGCCCATTAGGAGGCCTTATACTTGAGAGTATATGCATGATTTTGATTCTTTTTCTAAAGGAATCCACTGAGTTACCTAAGCTTCAGGCTCCATAAAAGCTAGGTTTATCTTTGGTTGTATCCATGAAGCTTTGGCAATGAAATCAAGCATGTGAAATATGATTTTGCTTTCAATGTAATTGTATTTATTTTCTATTTGAACATGAATTCTACTAAATGTAAGAAACAGTCTCAGTGAATTCAGAGATATTGCCAGGTTCTGGGTAGAGTTTACAGAATGCCAAGGTATCGGTGGGGAAAAGTGTCTAGCCCCACGTTGTCCGGGGTCCTGCTCGCTGTCTCTAATGCACTGATGTTCTGTCTGACCAGGAGGTGTGTGGTCCTGGCAGATGGAATCTTTGGCTTTCCTGCTCTGTGAACTGTGTTTTGCTCAGCTTTCTCTCAGCTTCTTCCATACCCCTGAGGAATCAAAAGACTTAATTTGGTTTCTTCTTAAAATCACTCTGGAATTACAGGGGAATTTGAGGTCATATCAAGTCATTTGTGCCTGAACATGACATGAACATGAACTCTACCACTCTTGTGTCATGCCATGTGCTGGGCTACTGGGCTTCATCTTGGAGTTGAGGCTGAAGTCTCCTTTTCTTAGATCCCACAGATCTCCTTGAGGATAGAGCCAGGGTTGCATGAAAAGACTCCCTTTTAGAGGAAATGACATCTAAGCCCTCTTATTACTGCCATTTGCGGATAAGCTTCCTTGAGTCAGATTGTGGGGTGGGGAGAGTCGCTGTATTTCAGTTGTAAGTTTGTCTTGGCTGCCATTTTTGCATGAACTGCACGCTTTGTGTCTTTAAGGCTTTGGCTTTTGAAAAAATTTTGATAAAATCCAGTATTCCTATGGCTCACAAATTTTAAACTATCAATATCTAATTTTGAGTTTCCAAAAGCTAATTTTTGAAACTTGAAAGACTTGAGATGATTTTCATTGCTCTGGTTAGGATGAGACTTCTCCCTCCAGAGCCCATGGAGGTGGAATATCCAAAGTGAAGAACCCATGAGATATAAGGATCTGGTTTGAAATTCATTATATTATCTAGTCATATCAGTGGCTATGAAACTAACCATGATACAGGTGCCTGCACTACCCACTTTCTCTTCCTGTCAGAAAGTGTCCTAACTCACTGAATTGAAGGAACATCTTCCCATATGCTACGGATGAATGCCTGTTGTTAAGATCAAATAATGTGTTCTTGGTCAGGGATCTTTGACTATGCTGTAACTACAATGGCCTTATTTGCAGCCACCTTAAGCAACTACCCTATATAGAAAATGCTGAATTGGAGAAAGATTCACTTTCTAAATTTGATGGGTATGTTCCATTTACCACATTTGACATTAAAAGTTCTGGATTCATCCTCAGAGAGGAGCCTCAGTCATGAACAGTGTAATTTGCAGTAATCAAATACAAGTACTCAGACTCAAGAAAATTGTATATAACATTTTTTTGCTGTCAAAATATTGGTTATAAAAATATTGAAAAAGTTATAAAATTAAAAATAAAAATATTATAAAATAAAGTAAAAATACTGTGTATAATTTTGAGTTATTTAAACAGCAATACTTGAATGTTTTACTGGTTGTTTGAAGAATTAACATAGTGTTCTTCTTTATATACTAAAGTGCTTAACAAAGACTAGTTTAGAATTATTCATTGAATTGATATACAGAAATAATAGTCTCAACTTCATAAAGTTAAGCTACATTTGAGTATTTCTCTGAATCATTTCAAGAGAAGGATGCTATTTGTATGTGGGATAAATACAGTGAGGTGTTTCAAAAGCATTTGAGCTATTTCCCTGGTAATTTCACTCTGATGATAATTCTAATTTCTCTTCCAGACCTTCTATAGACTAGTAACTCTCTATGAAAATTAACCAATGGGCCAGCGCCGCGGCTCACTAGGCTAATCCTCTACCTGTGGCGCCAGTACTCCCGGTTCTAGTCCCATTTGGGGCGCCGGTTTTGTCCCGGTTGCTCCTCTTCCAGTCCAGCTCTCTGCTGTGGCCCAGGAAGGCAGTGGAGGATGGCCCAAGTGCTTGGGTCCTGCACCCGCATGGGAGACCAGGAGAAAGCACCTGGCTCCTGGCTTCAGATGGGTGGCCGCAGTGCGCCGGCCGTAGCGGCCATTTTTGGGGTGCACCAACGGAAGGAAGACCTTTCTGTTTGTCTCTCTCTCACTGTCTAACTCTGCCTGTCAAAAAAAAAAAAAAAATTAAAGAATGAAATTCAAGAGTATGCTTCAATTAAAGATTAGTAATGAATCAGGATTATTAACATTTTAAAGTCATTCATAGTTCAGAATTGAAAATATTACATGTGGAAACAATTGTGATTACAGCCTCCCTCCTCTAGTTATTTATGATGGGTGTGGGCTTTAAATCCTTTCAATTCTATTAAAAATTGGTTCAACTTAAAAGGGTTATCTTCTTGAACCTTAAATGATTATTGATGATAATTCCAAGATGCTTTCAAGATGAAGATAACTGAAGTAAGAATCGCTAGAAAGAAGAAGGAACTTCACAAACAGGGGACTTGATCAATGGCATTGAAAACAGGCAATAAAGTTAGAATTGCTAAGATGGAATCCTTGGTGTTGAATGTGTTAAATTAAGGATCAGTATCTAAACTCTTATACATTGTGCGTCAATCATTCCATACAAAGATAAGGAATTTTTAAATTTTACCTTTTGATAATGAAAAATAGAAATAATACAGGAAAATGCCCCAAATGCATTTCTTCCACTTTTTTAAAAAAAAGTTTCTAAAATCTAAGCCTTAGCTATAAATAAGATGATAATAATACATTAATATTGTAAAGGTTAGTTAAGAACAAAACTAACATCAATATTTACTAGTAAGACTCAAAAAATAGCAAAAATTTTGTTTAGCAAGCTATTAACACATAGGAAGGGATGAACGACAAGGATGATCTTTTAAAAATAAAATTGTAGTGATACAAAATTTTCAAATTCTTTCTTGTTACTCATCTTTATTTATTTATATTTATTCAGTAATATCTCCATTCTTCCACTCATTTATCACTTGACCAAATATCTATTGAGTACCTAGCATATGCAAAGCTGTTATAAAAACCATATTCTGAATCTAATAAAGCATAATTATTCTGAGAAATATGTTCTTATAATTTAAGTAAACACCTTCAAAAATAGTTGAATTCTTTATTTCTATGCACATTAAAGATGTACATTATTAAGTGTTACATAAATAGGTTGAAAAAGTCAATGCATATTTAATTTCAAATATATGTATTCTCATTTCTCTCAGCACTGGAAATGGATATTTATGAAACTTAGATAGATAATTAATTATTTAACTACAGATGCATGCCTGCTGATGACTTAAATTTATTTGAAGATTATTGTGAAGTTATTTAAAATTGACAAAGCATCAAGAGTCCACTTACCATCCCGTTGACGTAAAGAATTGTCGATAGTTATTAAAGTAGTTCAACAGAAAGGCAATATTCAGTAGCGATTTGAGGTGTAGTAAATTTTATTATAAAATACCTACTGCACAGCATTGTACAGTACTGCTTGTTGTAGAGTAAACATTTCCTGTTGACATCATCTATTCTCTTTGAGAATAGATTGGTTGTTTATGTATGGCTTGCGTAACTGAGAATTAAGTGATCACAAAAATAAACAGGTCTATTCAGAACCCATTTATGTAACTTCTGGTTAATTCTCTAAGGTTAAGCTTTTAATTATATCCAATTATTTCCTGTTAGTTCACTGAAAACTGACAGCTGAGTGATGAATAATCTGCATCACATATTATTTTTACTTTTTAGGAGACAACCAAATTAATTATGACATTGTCTGCAATTCTTAAACAAAAGTAAAATTTTGTTAATTTCCTTTCAGATGCGATCTGTGAGTCGAGTCTTTAAGTTTATTGACATGCCAACAGAAGAAACTAAGTCTACCAAATCCATCAAACCATCCAGTAACTGCCAGCTATCAAAAGTTATGATTATTGAGAATCAACATGTGAAGAAAGATGACGTCTGGCCCTCAGGAGGCCAAATGACTGTCAAAGGTCTCACAGCAAAATATATAGACAGCGGAAATGCCATCCTGGAGAACATTTCCTTCTCAATAAGTCCTGGCCAGAGGGTGAGATTTCAACATTGCTTGCTTTGTTAGACCTGTGTTCAGTAAGGAAGCCCAATAGCCTAAAGCAGTGTGTTAGAAGAATTCATTTATTAACACTATTATTGTAGACTAGGATCAATACTGAGCATTCACATTTCAAGTTACTATTATATGGAGATTATATGGAGTTACTAGTTTTCATGCAAAATTTAATATGTGGAGTCCTAGGTCAATGTTCAATATGATTGCAGGATATTTTCAATTGTATTACAGGATATTTCATTTGTTGCTAAGTTATTAACTAAAGATACTATTCAACCCCAATTATAACATGTTTAAGATTTTTTATCTTGAAAATATCTTTCAATAAGAGAATATTTTCCTGCTGATTCCATGTAATGTCTTCTTAAATTTTATCTAATTTGCACAGTGTCAAGTGTCAAACAAGTGGCTTTTGATTTTTAGCTTTTTACTTTTTAGGGATTTTCATTAAGATGTCAATTGTTTAATTTTTTCCCCAAATTATTTAGTAAGCAAAAATTAATTACTAAACAAAAAGAATTGACTAAGAAATATTTTGTTTCCTGAGCATAAATAATTGTGCATTATCTTAAAGTGTTTCTTATGGATCTCAGCACTAGGCTGAACTCATATAAAGAACTCAGGCAATATATACTGATTCTTGGAATTGATTCTTAGAGAAGATGGTCACCCTCTGTGTACTTCATGCTCTGTAAACATAGTTTTGTATTGTCTTCAAATCTCTCCTTCTACACTGTGCTATAAATCCAGACAGGGGTATTATATGCTTCTGACTGATGTTCTTTTTTATTGATATAATATAAAAGAGAGCCAGTTCTTTTTTTTAAGCTTTATTTTATTTATTTGGAAGGCACAGTAACAGAGAGAGAGAGAGAGAGAGAGAGAGAGAGTGAGTGTGTCTTTCATTCCTTACATGGCCGCAATGGCTGGGACTGGGCCAGGTCAAACCAGGAGCCCAGAGCTGCATCTGGGTCTCCCACATGGGTGGTAGGGGCCCAAGTACTAGGGCCATCTTCTGCTATGTTACCAGGTGCATTAGCAGGGAGCCAGATTGGCAGGTGAGCAGCCAGGACCCAATCCGGCACTGCAATATGGGAAGCTCGCATTACAGGTGGCTGCTTAACCTGCTGCTCCACAGTACCAACTTGAGCCAGTTCTTCAGAAAATCGAATTTAAGAACTTATCTTCGTGATTAATTTTAAATAGAGTTTCAAAAACTATTAATATAGTGTTGGTAAAGTTATTAGGCCACCATCACTAACACAGGCATAAGAACAGATTGTTAGCACTTAACTTTTCTAAATGTTTCATAAACAAATAATGCATTGCACAAAGTAATTTTTTTATTTTTAAAAGATTTTATTTATTTGAGAGGCAGAATTACAGATAGACAGAGGAGGAGACAAAGTTATTTTTAAAAAGAGTATAAGATGAGAAAAAAAGTGCCATGCTAAATGACTTACTATGAGAAGCTAGACTTTTTGACTCATCTTTTTTCTTAAAATAAATAAATTTATGTACCAATAAAATTAATTCTCTAAGATATTTCTGTTCATTAAAAATGGGATTTGTCTTATTTTTCTCTATTTCTGAGAGAAAATGGTTTTAAAGGGGGCAAAATGGAAAGGTTTTGCATTTTAGATAAAATTTACCCCTAGTACTAGATGAAGACTGGTCTTTGTGCTGAGATTAGAACCCTGATGAAATCTGAATTTTTTGATGTATTTGCTTCATTATTGAACTTATATATTAGTTATGCCTTAGAGCTATGTAAAATTAATTATGTCTTGACTCCTACCTCCCATCAGAAAAAACACAATTAATTACTGTTTTGCCTTACATCGGCCGCTGAGAGTGTTGTCCTTGGATCACAGAATGGATGCCAAAGCTGCTAGCTAGTATCATTATAAACAATAGCAACACATAGGTTGATATCAACTAGGTGTGAAAGCCTTGGTAAATTATGTGGTTTCCCTCCCCCTCACATCTTCCCTGTCCTTTGCTATAGTGGTGCCTACTTGCCCAGTAAATCAAATTCAGTAAAGCCCTAGTGGAGTGAGAGAATTTGTAGAGACCTCATACCTGTAGAAAATTTCCCTGATGTGAGAATTGTCTACAGAGTTGTTACAAAGTGAGGAAGAAGTACTATGTTCATGCATATCATTGTCCCTGAGTCTTCATAAACAGAGTAGACCTTGTGTGTTCAGTAAGTATTCATTGCATGTTGTGCTTTAGGTTCTCTTGGGGAACTGGAAATCACTCATATTAGAGAAGGCAAGGGTCTTAAACCTAGATCCATCTGACTTTGAAGTTCCTTTTCATCATATGCCACCTCTCTAACTTAAAAGAAGGTGGAGGAACAGATGAATGAGAGGGGGAGGGGGGCGAAGGGAGTGTCTGTACCAAGAAATCCAGTGAGATCCGGTGAGGCTGATGCAGGATCCTGGTGATGCTAGCAAAGCTAATGTTTCAAAGACCTTTACTTGTCCGAGAACTACTCAAAGCCTATACTGATTTTGTATTTATAATTTTGTCATTCTTTAAAAAGCCACCTCTTAAACTGTATAAACTCTAGGCTAAAAAACAAAAACAAAAACAAACAAACAAAAACCAGCAACAACAAAAACCCTTTGATATGCCTTTGAATAAGAGATCAGCAAGCAAATGCCATAGGAATTCAGAAAAGGAAGCAGTTGGTATCAGTTGGCAGAGAGTTGGGCTATTCAGGGAAGGCTCTATACAGGAAGTGACATTTAGAATGAGGCTTCAAGATCTGAACTGTGCACTTAACCCAGTGAAGGTGGGTGAGGAAGAGTGTTTTGTGTTTCAGACAGAAGACCTAACATGAGGCATGGAGCATGCTCAGAAAGTAATAACTGGTTTGGTTAGGTTAGAGGATGCCTGTAGGATAAAGGAAGCCAAGATTAGAGCATAATGATGGAAATTTACAGATTTTGAAAACTAAACCAATGAAGGAAGTAAAAGACTTGGAAAATTCTAATAGATTATGCTAGTAAGTGGTTTCTGGTCATCCTCAAGAGCAGTGGACCAGCATCATCTGCATTGCTCAAAAACTTGAAGAAATGCACATTCTGGGGCACCTCAATCAGACTTGCCGATGGAGACAGTGGTCAGTGTTTAGTGCCCTCCCAGGTGTGCCCATGCATGTATCTAACTGTCAGAAAACTTGTTTGAGAGCTGTTTTGCGTAGAGGAGTATGGGCAGAAGTCCAGCTGCTAAAGGCTGGTTGAATGGGGGAGCATTGAAGCGAGAAACCATTTAGAACACTCACGTTGATGATGGGAAGTGATGGTCAAAGCAAATGCAGTGTGGAGGTATTCGCCTCTGCCTGAAGTAAAGTAGATTTTCTGTGAGACAAGAGGAAAGGAGATAAGTAGAGTTAGACAGAGTCTTGAATGCAAGAATTGGGAAGGAAAATGTTTCCCAACTGAAGATATTCTGCTACTTCCAGGTTTTAAGTCGACTATATTAAGTCATGGAAGTCAGGAAGGTTAGTCTTCTGACTTTTTTCTTCAGTCTTATGTTGGCTACTCTGTGTTTTTTTGCCTCTCCTTATAAATTTGTCAGTTGCACAGTCAGTTTGTAGACATCCACAAAAACATTCACTGAAATTTTTATTGTGATTGCCTTGAATCTGTAGATAAGTTTGGGATTAACTGACATCGTGACATTATAATGCTCTTTGACTCATAATGGAGTTACATCCTGATCAACCCACCATAAGTTGAAAATAGGTTTCAATGCGTTTAATACATCTATCCTGATGTATGTCATAGCTCAGTAACTCAACTCTGTAGATTATCAGTTATTTATCCTCATGATCATGCAGCTGATTGGGAGCAGCAAGATGGTATCAAATTGCAGGTCACTAGCCTGGGAAAAGATCAAATTCAAAATTTGAAGTGTACTCAGTTTTTACTTAATGTGTATTACATCATTATTAGTTTTAAAAAATAATGATTTGAACCATTGTAAGTCAAAAACACTTTGTATTGAGTCTTCCTATCCATAAACATGGATTATTTATCTACTAATTTAGTTATTCAGTTTCTTTCATTGAAGTTTTACAGTTGTCCTTATGTAGATCTTATATGTATTTTGTTATATTTATATCTAAATATTTCATTTTGGAGATCATAATGTAACTGGTATTGCTACTTTAATTTCAAATACTACTTATTCATTACTGTTGTACAGGGACATGATCAACTTTTGTATATTAACCTTCATTCTCACAAATTTGCTGTAATTACTAATGATTATAAAAACATCCAATTTTTATCATTCTTTAAGATTTTCTATACAGATGATCATATCCTCTGTGATTACAGTTTCATTCTTCGTTCGCAATCTCTATATCTTTCATTCTTTTTTCTTGTCTTATTATATTAACAAGGACTTTCAATATAATGTTGAAAGCAATGGTGAAAGTAGATATCCTTGTTTTGTTCCTGATCTTATTGGGAAAATCACAAGTTTCTCACCATTAGGAATGGTATTGGCTACAGGACTGTAATTCTTGATCAAGTTGAGGAAGTTTCCCTCTAATCCTAGTGTGAGACTAGTGGGAAAATCTTACATGTGCTGGTTCATTCCCTAAATGGCTGTAATGACCAGGGCTGGGCCAGGATGAAGCCAGGAAGCCTGTAACTCCATTCTGGTCTCTCAAATGGTCTGCTGCTTTCCAGGAACATTAGCAGGGAGCTGGATCAGAAGGGAAGCAGCCTGACTGGAACTTGTGCTCATATGGGTTGCTGGTGTTGCAGTTGGCGGCTTAACCAACTGCGCTGCAACACTGACCCCTTTATTCTTGATAATGTTCCTTTCTCTAAAGTCTTTGCTTTACAAAAATAATATAGCTACTACAATTTCCTTCGAAACAGTGTTAATATAGAATAGCATTCTCCATCTCTTTGCTTTAAAACAATGAATTTCTTTTATTTGTAAAGCAGAGAGAGAGAGAGAGAGAGAGAGAGAAACCTTCCACTAATTGATTCACTCCCCAAATGGCTACAATGGCCAGGGCTGGCCTAGACCATTAAGAAGCAGACTCATATTTAATTATTTAATTTATCATTTTGGGTATACAGAAACACTGTGGACTAGTTATTTTTCTTCAAAACAAAAAAAGCAGTTGAAATTCAGGGCTTATGTAAGCATATCATTTAATTTTTAGTGGATTTCTGTATTCTTGATGATATGGTGAATAGATGGCAAAAATTAATATTTTGTACAGAAAATTATTCAGTCTTCATATTAAAACATTTTGTCCATAGTATTTACTTTAAAGATGTCCTGTTACTTTATTTGCTTTTATTTGAGGCATTTAATTCACAGAATCTACACTTTAAAAGTGTTTTTTCAATGCATGAGAAATATAGCAAGTATTTTGCAACCATTACTATAAAAAATCTATTTTCTTTTAAATCTCAAATAGCCTATTCTTAAAAGCTGATGATTTTTTATCTGAATCTTAATAGCCTGATTATATCTCTTCCTTTTTTCCTTTTCTTTTCCCTCTCAAAATGCAGGCTGGGGTTTTAATTTGGAGTCTCTTCTTTCATGATAAACCTGGACTTACCAAAATTCTTCAGATACGTATGTTGTATATGTCATAATACCTAGATATTCTTTTGATTAAATAGATGTTTAACAGTACTTCAAGATATATTCTTTTGGGTGAACATATCTGCTTTCTCCATTTGTAGCCCCTTCAAAATATCGAAATGTTAGCAGTAAGTCATAGTTCCAAAGATTCATCTCGTATCAGCACAAGCACTTAAGAGCCTGTTTGGTTAGTTAAACATGTCTCATTTTCTGTCTTGAAAAAAGTTGGTGTGAAGTAGCTGAATCATTCAGTAACTCATCCTGGGTGTATGTACGCAGATTCTCCAGATTCTGTTTATTCAAACACTAAACAGAGATGTGTGAACAAGTATAGTCTCCTTGTGCGTCTGAATTTCACTTGACTTAACATCCTGATCTGGAGACTACAAGGATGTGAAAAATAATTACAACATATTTCTATCTGTTGCAGCTTTAAAATGACAAGTAGAACACTGAGAGGAATGTCCTGAGACTGTTCTATTCATGGTACAGTGCAACTACAACTAGCAGCACGCTCAGCACTGTGTAACTCTCCACTTGGACTTATCTCGGTCCAAAATTCTCAGACAGGAGGTGCACTGAAGTTACTAGAAAACACTGATTTGGAATTAAGATATGTCTTAAGAGCTTATTTGCGGGAAGTACTTTAGCCTTTTTTAATAGATCACTGAGAAGACTGGAAAAACAAATCCTGGAAAAGAATTATATGTGCCAATTATATGAACAAAAAGGCTTTGTTAGGTAGAAACCAACGAGATTCTTAGCTATTGAAAAACCTGTCAGACACAATGCATTACCAGTGACTCAGTGATACAGAGCAGCCAGAGCAACAGCTGAAAACATTAAAGCTAAACAAAGATTTACAAATTGCCTCTCAATCCAATGGATTCCCCATATAAAAACTGAATTCACTAAAAATTGTACTATTTACTTCTGGGGGAGAGGGACCATAGTCATTTATCCTACTCATTAGAACTTTGACTAGTGATACAGGGATTTGGATCTGAAGCCACTTTTTAGCAAACTTTTTTAGTCTAACTTAGAGCAAATCACATCCCAGTTGAACTTTTTCTTCTCTTCCCTCATACCTCGCCTTTCTGGCACATTCAGATGGCTTATAGAAGACCTTGCTATTTTGTTGGAAAACCCATGACATCTAGTGAATGTGTTTGTGTAATGTGAGCTAATTCAGAAATGAAAATGTGGGGATGAAATTCCACATGAATTTTAAAGTAAGAGTTGATAAAATTGACTAACTCTATTTATTAGTCCAATCAGCTAATTATGTGTGTTCATTCATGTGCTCATTCATCCATTTGTCCTTCCATTTGCCTGTCCTTTGGTCAGTCCAAACAAGTAGTTGTATGAGCACTTTGTATAAGTACTGGGAATCAAATGGAAAATAAGATAGGCTATGCTGCCCTTTATGAATTTACATTCTTAGGATAAACACAAAAAATAACCAAGGACAAAATAAATAATTATTGTTTATGATTTGTGCCCTGAAGACACTCAACAGAGCATTGTGTATAACCTTTAGCTGACCTGATTTTCTCCGTTGCAGCAGAGAATAAACACTTGTGAAAATCTTATTATGGAGCCTTTGTGATGGATAGGAGGACAGTCTTTAACATCAGAAATATGGATATTGTCATTTGTATTTTCTTAAAGATTTATTTATTTGAAAGAGTTACATAGAGAGGGAGAGAGAGAGAGAGGAGACGGTGAGAGAGAGAGAGAGAGAGATCTTCCATTATCAGTGTTGTTACCAGCTTACCCCAAAGGCCTATTTTATTATCAGGTCCCTAATAAGTGTTCAGTAAGTTATTATTATTATATCATATGGGTTGTTACATACTCTAAGACGTTTGTGGTGGACCATGCACTATTACAGGTTGGTGATATGTATAGAAATTGAGAATAAGCATTTAGAAATTCATTTATATTATGTATTTTTAAAGTTCTGAGTTCTAATGAATTGAAAACTAAAAAAATCAAGCTATCCTTTACTACAGACAGTGTGAAAAGCTAGAAAAAGAAGATTTTGAGTGGTTTGTCCACAAAGAAATAGTAAATGAGGAGACAGATATGCTTACCCTGATTTGAATATCATGAAAATATTTTTAAAAGTTTATAGAGATGGAATTAAAAAATAAGCTTTTTTGTACAATTTTTTTGAAATCTATGCATTGTTTTTCATAACATCTTTTTCCATGAACTTTTTGAAGACCCCTTGTACACACTGTGTACATGTATCAAAACATACGATACTCCATCAATAGGTACAGTTTTTAAGTGTAAATCAAAAGACCATGTGCTCACTATACTGTAAAGAGGCCAAACAATTACAAATAAAGTAGAAATGACGTAAGGGGAAGGCCGTTTATTCAGTGTTACTAAGCGCCAGGCAGTCTGTTCGGAGGTCAGCTGATGACTGCAGGAGGCTCTCCCATCCGGAGCACCTTCCTCAGGTGCTGGGAGGTGAGCTGACCTCAGGACACAGGGTTGGCCTCCCTGTGGCCTGTCTGTAGCACTGGATCTCTCCAGCAATGCACGTATTCGCACGTCTATGCCTTGCTTTTACAGTCTTCAGGTAACAAGGATAGTTTATTTGCTTTGTTTTGTTCTCCTTAATAGCCTTTTTGCTGTCTCAAGTTTCCCTCTTGCCAATCAGTGTATATGTAAGAATTTTATTTGACAGCTATCCAAGTGCTTATTCACTGAGGTGTGGGGAGGACTTGGCTCAACTGGCCTTCTCTGGCTATAGAGGTACTCCCTGTACATATTCTTGTTTATTGTCAGGCTGAACTTGATACTTGCCTAATTTTTCAGGGATGGTAACTAAATAGTAAGCTTCTATTAAGTAATTTTCAAGTTTATATCCAAGCGATTGATCCCTGTTTCTAGGACTTCTGGGTTGAGTCCATTCTTATGTGCATTAAGCCACTGTGTTTGCTCTTCCTTAATGCAAAACGGGCATTTTTCAACCTTTTTGTTGTTAGTAAAGATGAGCAATAAATGAAGCCGGTGCTGGGTCTAGTTCTTTATAGCCAGCTTCTAATTTTTTAAATAAATATTTGTTTATTTATTTGAAAGTCAGAGTTACACAGAGAAGGACACACACACACACACACACACACCTTCCATCCACTGGTTCATTCCCCAGATGGCCACAGTGGCCAGGCTGGGGCCAAGCCAAAGGCAGCAGTCTGAAGCTTCATCTAGATCTCCCACTGAGTGGCAGGGATCCAGGCACTTGGGCCATCTGTTGCTGCTTTCTCAGACACGTTAGCAGGGTGCAGGATTGGAGGTCTACATTCTGTTGCTCTTCCCAACCATGTCAATAGTGCTCCTAATTGGGATCCTGCAAAAACAGTTGAATGAATAGATGAAAAATCTTTCCCTGGTGATGGGAGAAACTTTCCTAATGGTTGTTACTGAAGTACTGTTCTGAAATATTTGTGTAGTGTGGCATCTATGTCACAGAAGTAATTCTATCACTTTTCCTTGGTAGGTGGGCCTCTTAGGAAGAACTGGCTCAGGGAAGAGTACTTTGTTATCAGCATTTTTGAGACTACTGAACACTGAAGGAGAAATCCAGATTGATGGTGTGTCTTGGGATTCGATCACTTTGCAGCAGTGGAGAAAAGCCTTTGGAGTGATCCCACAGGTGAGTAAGAGATTCAGCCAGAAAAAAAGAAAACAAGAGCTGAATTACATGTTCACCGTTATTTGACACTTGCACTGAAGGAATTCACATTACCCTGTCAAATATATTCATTAAGAATTGCTGTCTGTTGTTGTGTGTGCCATGTAGGGAGAAAAATTTATCTCTGAAAGTCTGAAATTCTCTGTGGGACATAGAGTTATTTGAAATTGTAGTTTTGATTGCATTTCCCTGAAGACATGATCTGCAGTGAAAGCCTGGGGCTTTTGTTTTCACATGCGATTTTCTCACTGCTTTATAGTCTGAGCTCCAAGTTAGCAATCACAGCAGGTTGAGAAATGCTGTGCAAGACATAAAAGATTCTCCTGAAAGAGCAAACACTTGGTAGTGGAATTGCAAATGTAAAGTGTAGTGGTTGGGTTCTTGTTCTTTAGATAACAAACACTGTCTCAGATTGATAAGTACTTTTTTTTTTTTTTTTTAAATGTCACTCTGATTTGGGTCACAGAGGTATCCCTAGCCTCACTGGCTTAGTATTATTCTGTGTTATTGTGCAAGAGGACTTCTTGTGTATGGGGGAAATAGCTACCGTTCCAGTTTAAAACGATCTAATTGGAAACCAAGAGATGTCTTTACGGGTCCAAATCTGAAAGGCATTTGCTGTGTTTCTGCCAGTATTTGCTCTCATCTCTATGGCTGTTCTCACTGTTTTCATGACCACTTCCATCTCTTTGTGCTAATAAGGACTGAACTCATTGTACTACATGGTTCTCCCAACAGTTCTCTGTTTTTAATACAAAATGAAAATGCCAGAAGCATGTCCAGGTAGACTGACTACACATCCAGACAGAGAAAAAAATTTCTATTTCTTGCTAGGTTATCTTGGGGGAGACATTTGTTCCTTTCAACTAATGAGGCACTAAATATTGTAACTGCCTGGCTGGTGCTTGAATTCACTTGTCTAGACTTTACCATGTTGCCAGAAGATTAATTCTGGTTGGGGTTTTGTAAACAGTACTGTTTCTTTCAGAAAGAAAAAGAGAAATTGTCAGATGGTGTAAGATAAAGAAAACCTGGAAATGTGGGTATCCCGAGGTGATAGCATGAGGCAAAATAAAAATGTTGAAGATCCTGGAATAGAATCTGGTTGTCAGAGAAGTGTGTTTTTCAGTGTAGACTATCTTCTGGTCCTTTTTTAAACAACAATAAAACTTCTGTTTTCTTTCTTTTTCTTCTGTTCTTGTTCACACAAATCTGCCCATTAGAATAAGCGAGCTCTAAAAGTTAAGTTCAATTTCACTAGGACTCCATTGGTTTATGTGCATGTAGTGATATTTTATTTTACTATGTACCCTACTTAGGAATCTATGCCAGATCTGGAGATCTGAGTGTAGCAGAGTTGTGAAAGTTCTTTATCTTGCCTTTCTGCCCAAGTAAATTTTCCAAACTTGCCTTTATTTTCTTTTCCCTTTTCGTTATGATAACTTTTTTTTTCCAAAAAAGCTTTTAACATGTAATACTTGTACATCTTTCTGGGGCACAGTGCACTGTTTCAGTACATTCAATGTGGTGTGAACTGGTCAAGCTTTATAAGAATTAAACACAAAATGCATTCAGAGGTTCCTTTACAAATGCTGGCTGACGCTGATGTAGATCTTCTCGGATGCCTGTTGGTGACCGTGGTTTCTGGGACTGTTCTCTCAGGATCAGAAGGGCTCTGTAGACAGTACTATTTCCTCTCTAGTGAAAACCTTTGAACATCACGTGAATGCCCAAAAAGAGAGGAAGACGGCAAACCAGAGATGCCTTTATTTTCCTAATCTGCTTTGAAAGTTCACATTAAGTAATTTTTTCCTTCCTTGGAGTTGGATGATTACAAAGAAGGAAGAAGAAATACAAAAACACATCCGAGGAGAGCTATTTTTTTGTTTGCCTTCCCAATTCTTTCTTCCTTCTATCTCGCAGAACTTGCAAGGACATAGATATGAGATCTCTGACATTGGGACAGCAAAGATTCCTGGGTCATGTGCTCATTTGTTTTCAAACACATGACACAGGAACTTTGAACAGTGAGCTTCCCCTCTCTCTGATAGTGATCCTAAAACATCAGCTGTGCAATCACAAGATGCCAGTGGTTTTGGCAAGTCCTTGTGGGTTGCTTTACGTTCTCTCCTGTAGCAGAGAAAGCAGTCTCAGAGAATCCGGCAGCCTGCTAGACAGGATATTGTGTACATTTCAAGGTGGAATTTCCTTTAATTTGTTTTCCTCTACGTGTGAGCTGTGAGGTTGTAACCAGTAGACAATGAGGCTTACAGTCAGAGTGCCACTGGCATAAGTCAATTCAAACACCAAGACTTACAGTTGCGCAACAGCCTTGAACCTTGTTAAGCACTGAATTCAGAAAAACATAAAAAAATAATTTTAACTATTTTTAGAGCTTTAATTACAGGTTTGAAAGGCTGCAGGTTATTCTGAGGAAATGACTAGACCTGTTCTTGCAATGCAATTTTATGATAAAATAATCCATGCTCACATGACTCCCATCCGAGAGTTGGGACATCTCTGCTGTGGAGTATGTGAGAGAGGATAAAAACACGCATCTGTGGGTCAGAGCGATGAAATTGGGGGTTCAGCAGTTCCCACTCAGTGCAATAATCATTAATTCTTTAATGATTATTAAAATTCCCATATGCTTAACGTTGTAAATCTTACAGATTCTACAGTTAGAGGTGGAGATAGCATTTGGCCTTGATATTGCCACAGTGAGATCTGAGTGCAACCTATGGACTTCCAATAATAAGCTCAAAATTTCACTGCTGTAAGTCAGCATTCAAAGAAAGAAAGAATGTAACCAAAATGATGAATTCAACATAGGTACTCATATGGCGACTAATGGAGTCATGGCTTATTCAGTGAATGCTTGTAGGTAATTATGACAAACCCCAGCCCATCACATCTGTATCGTCTTCCTTTTCTCCTGCTTCCACTGCTGTGCCTTTCTCCTCCTCATTTTCCTTGTGTTCCTTCATTACAAGATGCACACAAATTAAACTTTTTTTTTTTTTTTTGACAGGCAGAGTGGACAGTGAGAGAGAGAGACAGAGAGAGAAAGGTCTTCCTTTGCCGTTGGTTCACCCTCCAATGGCCGCCGCTGCAGCCGGCGCACCGCGCTGATCCGATGGCAGGAGCCAGGAGCCAGGTGCTTTTCCTGGTCTCCCATGGGGTGCAGGGCCCAAGCACCTGGGCCATCCTCCACTGCACTCCCTGGCCACAGCAGAGGGCTGGCCTGGAAGAGGGGCAACCGGGACAGAATCCGGCGCCCCGACCGGGACTAGAACCCGGTGTGCCGGCGCTGCTAGGCGGAGGATTAGCCTAGTGAGCCGCGGCGCCAGCCGACACAAATTAAACTTTTAAAAGCAACATTCAGATTTTGTGGATTTGAGATTTTTGACCTATTCCAGTCCCAGATGGGACCTATAACCTTGATTATAAATTTCTCCTCGCACTTCCGCTATGTCTTCTATTAAAATCGTCTGTCTACTTGTTTAATTTCCACTTAGTATTATAAAACTTCACAGACATTTTAGTTAAGAAAGCAAGATTTAAACTCAAAATTATTGTCAATTGATGATGACTAGTAGGAAAAACAAAATAGAAATGTAAAATAAAACAATTTTTTTCCTTTTCTTTTGATTTATAATATGCCTAACACAAGTTACATGATAGGAACTGAATCTACCTTGTTTTGTCCTGGGTCAGTAAACACTTGATAACTTTTACCAAGGATTGTGGTTTGACCAGTGTCATGTATTTTAATCTGTATAATCTTAGGCAAGTTATTTAATTTCTCTGGGCTTTGGCTTCCTTTCCTATAAAATGGGTATAATGATAGTAACTACTTCATTGTGCCTTTGTGAGAGTTGAATGAGTTATCTAATTACTTACACTCCGGGGCCTCACTGTGGTGTAATAGGCAGAGTTTCTGCCTGTGGCAACAGTATCCCATATGGATGCCTATTCTAGTCCCAGCTGCTCCTCTTCCAATCCAGCTCTCTGCTATGGCCTGGGAAAGCAGTACAAGATGGCCCAAGTGCTTGGGCCCCTGTATCCACATGGGAGACCCAAAAGAAGCTCCTGGCTCTTGGCTTCAGGTTGACCCACCTCTGGTTGTTGTGGCCATTTGGGGAGTAAATCAGCAGATGAAAGGCCTTTCTCTCTATCTTTCCCTCTCTCTGTCTGTAACTCTACCTCTGAAATAAATAAATAAAATCTTAAAAAATAAAAAAGTACTTACACTCCTCCCTGATACATAGAAAAGCACAATATACTGGCTGTGGTGGGTTTTACTACTATTTATAATACCTTTGAGGTTAGGGATCCTATCTCCTTCACCTTTGTATTGGATTCACGAAGAATGTGATATTAAGATAGCCCATAAAAGTCCCTAAAGTTTGTAGGTTTTAAAAAGATTGGGACAAGACTATCGTGATGGAGTAGCTGGTAAACATGCCTCTGGCTGCTGCACTTCCCATTGAGCTCCCTGCTAATGCACCTGGGAAAGCAATGGAAGATGGCTCGAGTGTCTGGTTCCCTGAACCCTCATTGGGGAACTGGAAGAAGTTCTTGGGTCCTGGCTTTGGTCCAGCCCAGCCCCAGCAGATGTGGCTGTCTGAGGAAGAAACCAATGGATAGAGGATCTCTCTCTCTCTCTCTCTCTCTCTCCTTCTCTCCTTCTCTCCTTCTCCCTCTCTCTCCCTCTCTCTCTTCCCCTCCCCCTCTCCACCTATCTCTCACTCTCCTCCCCTCCTGTAACTCTGACTTCAAACTAAATAAATCTTCTTTTGAGATTTTATTTATTTATTTGAAAGGCAGAGTTAGAGATGAAGAGGGAGAGACAGAGATCTTCCATCTGGTGGTTTACTCCTCAAATGGCTGCAACAGCCGGAGCTGAGCCCATCCAAAGCCAAGAGCCAGGAGCTTCTCCCAGGTCTCCCATGTGGGTG